TGTAATAAAAGTATATAGGAAAAATACAAATTTTTGATGAGATCAATAAGTATATATGCGTAGAAACATTATTATGACGTGTATTGAATTAATTCAACCCTCCATCGTTTCAATGTAACTTCGTTCCTACGTCGGAAGTCAACATCGTTGGAAGTATACTTAATCGAACGGATATTATGCATATAGGTTAGATCACTGTTGCAATTTTAATACATTTTACAATAATTCAATAGGATTTGTATGAATTAAAGCTCATTTGATTCACTTGTTTCCATTAATTGATCTTAATAGTATTTTGATACTATAATTGAAAATAATTATCATTGTTTTGACTAGTTTTATTTAAGATAACATAAAATAAAGAAGTAGAAATAGATAATGAAAATTTTACATTATTATTATTAATATTATGATTATTTTGTTTTATGTTATAATAATGTGAGACATCGTCATAAAATGGAGGACTTTCTATTATATGATTCAAAATATAACAATTCTTTTTTAACATACATTTAACGTGGCAATGTCACAATTGAAAACTTGCCAAAATTGATTTTAAACTAAGGACAGATGAACATTTATTATTAGATTCAAATGCTAAAGAGTAAAGAGAAGACAAACATCTTTTTTCAATAAATATTCTTCTTCAACTTTTTAACATTTACAATTATTAATAATAATTTTTGTGAACATATTTTTATCGATTATCGTCATTTATCGATACGACGCGTCATTTTCAAATCAATTTATTTTACTTAGGAAAAATAAAACGAAACGATTTCCAAGAAGATTTCAGCACACAAAAATTTGAGGATTTTTTTTTTTTTTTTTGTATGTCACGTTGGATAAAATTAGCTTAGAAAATCGTAGTCGCTATCATCGACAACGATTTGTTCACCTACATTCAAGGCCAAGTAATGCAAAGGTCACAGGAAAAGAAACGTTAGACAAAAAATGTTAAATAGATTCGAAATAAGTTATCGACCAATCAGATTGCATGTTTTATAATGATTATATATAGAATAAAAAAAAAAAAAAAGAAGGAAGAATTGTCATTGGAAGATTTGAATAAACAAGAGCGACAAACAGTCAAATTAAACATTACATTTGAAAAATCAAAAATAAAAGATATTATGTCAATTGTGTAATAAGTTTATTAAAAATCGATCAATCAGATAACGTTTAATTAAAGGATAGAATAAAAGTATCATAATTGACGGCAATACAAATGACGCCATATTGGATTTCGATTTAATTTGCAATATTTAATCGCAATTTACATAATATAATAAAATATATATCAAACGTGACAAGGATATTCCGAAATCGTGTAATTAATTGAATAAATCTTTTATATTAACTACCGGCTTTATTATAAACGATTCGGAGAAAGCGGACGCGACACGGACGTGCCTTCAAGCTAGAAACATTCTGATTGGTCGGTTTTGTGGGCGTCAAACGCGAGACCTTCTCTGATTGGTTAAGCTGGTTATCGGATGAGGGGCTCGGCCTAAAGTGGTTCTCAATTTGACGGAGAAAAAGGATTGGTTGGTAAGAAGAACCCAAGCAGCACGTTTAAGAAACGTGTGTTGCGTTCATTTCTTCGAATCTTGCATCACATTTTCTTAGCTTGATCCATTGAAATTGTAATTATTTTTGATCTTTTATCTTTTTCTTCTTTAGTCTTCTTTACGTATTTGTAATAACCTTTTATAATGTTGATTTGCATGAAACTTCTTCATCCGAACAGATATATTCCAAATATTTCAAATATGAAAAACACCTTTTTTGTATTTTTATTGAAAATAATTTGATTTTAAGGGTTGAAATTATTTCTTATATATATATATGAATATTTTATTTGATAAAATTTAATATTATTTTATCTCTTTTTTTTAAACTTTTAATTTAATTTTCTTTTCTTTTCTTTTTTTTGTTATAGATTGACGACCTACCGCCATGCGGCACGAATTACTGAGTATGTATTAGATAATATAATGTTATATATAATAATAATAATAATAATAATCTTTTTATGGAGATTTGAATCATATTGCGTTACTTTCAATGCCAAGGATTCCATGATTACACATGACTATTCATACATATACTGGAAGGTTACTGATATTTTATTATTCATTTAATTCTCAAGTTTTCTCAGGTGTATTTTCTTTTTTTTTTTTTCACGCATGTATACTTTATTACTAATCTTATAATAATAGATTTGTTAAGATTATTTCTTTTTTCATTGGTAACAAGATAGAATTCTTATTATCTTTACAAACATAATTAGTGGGGGGGGGGAGAGGAAATAAAAGTAATTATCGAAACAGTATTACAAATTTGGAATCATTTTGTTACCTCCTGCATACGTTATTTTTTTTATTTTTTTGTATTTTACTGCTTATATTTTTAGTTTCTTTACTCAGCATTTAAAGAATATTTTTCAATCTCAAAATTTTCAAAATTAATCAATCATGAGTTACATTACAGAATGTAACACAACTCGTTTAGTTTCTTTTTCAAGTTCAACATATTTTTAAATGTTTTTTTTTCTTTTTTTTTCCTCTCGTTAATTTGAGAACCATCAATTGATTCGAATAATCCCTTTTAATGGATGATCCGTTTGATAATTTTAACAAGGTACTCGTTCGATCTATTTGACGTCAGAGAATGTTTTAATGAAATAATCGTTGACTCGTCGAATCGGGTTTTATTGAACTGTTCTTCCTTTAATATGTTGGATCCAAGTTTGATTCTTTCTTTCTTCTTCTTCTTCTTCTTCTTCTTCCTGTGCGATAATTATTAACAATTTACGACTAATGAGTTCCTTTTTTTTTTTTTTTTCTTCTTTATAGAGAACTATAGTTTGCATCATGTCTCTCGTTATATTTCACGTAATTTAAATAATCGTTTTAGCGTGTTAGAATATTATTTGTATTCGAATGTTCATCTTTTATCAGAATGGGGTAAATTTGTTCGAAGGTTTTTCTGATTTAAATTTAGCGCCGGTTTAACAACCATGATGCATGAAAGATTTTGCTTACGCATCGGTCATCACGTATACCACCTTTCTTTTTGAAGATATTTAAACGTGGCTTACGTGACACATATCACAAGTTAAACTTCACGATATTTTAGTGATCGTATTTTGACTAGAAATTTTTTCATCTAAACATTAATTGAAATAGATTGATATCTATTAAGCTAATATAAAGTAAATTTAAGCTGAAATACAAATTTATTG